GGGGGGGGAGGCACACACGTCTGGCTCTAGGAAGCCCCCTGAAAGGTACGGTACATGCGGGACAAATCCCCTGAATGTGTTTCCTCTTTCCCTGCTCCCTGGTCAGCCGGCCGTAAAACCGCGCCTGTGCATAGGTTCTGAGTATAAGAAGGGTTCGGTGGTAATCACCTGTAGGGTAGGGGTAGGTACGTCGTGGTTGAGTGGCGAGGGAGGGAGGGAGGGAGGGAGGGCAAATAGGGAGGGGAGAGAGTGAGAGAGTAAGCGGGCAAAGCGGACGAAAAGCATAAAACAAGCTGGCGTCAGGGTCCTGTGGTTATGATGCGAAGTCAGCTGGTCGGCGCCCTTATCCAGCACTAAGAATATACCCGCCCCACCCCACTCCACCGCGGCCCACCAACGGCGCGACTGGCTGGGCTAGGCGGCTAGGGGTTGATAGGACTCCGAGGGCGCGCCGCCGCTGGGCATGGGGGGCGGGAAGAGGTTGGGCTTCCTTTCTGTTCCTTGCTAGGCGGGCAGGGTCGCGGGCGAAAGGGAAAACAGCCGGAACCCTCAGCAGTGGGCCGCTGCAGTCGGCGGGGTGGGGTGGCCGGCATATCAGCCTGCTATCTACAGCCCCCCCGCCGCGCACCAGCGCGGCACAGCTTCCCCATCACCGCGCCGCTGAGTGACAGGCGACACCATTTGACTTCCACAACTACTTTAACTTTAATTGGCGCATGCGTTTGTTTCAAATTTTGTTCCGCGAGTGATTTCCAACACAGCAGTCCCCACGAGAAAATCGGTCAGTTGGGAGCAGAATGTCCAGGCAAACTCTGCTACAACTCATCTATAGAACTTACTCGAAAAGCCAATGAAAATTATGAGTATAGAAACTTTTTCATGTTTTCTCCCTTTTACCTACCCCTAGTCACACTAATAAACCTGCTCAACACTTGTAAGTGTGCAACCACAAGTTCAATACTTGCAAGTGTTCAATTCAGTAGAAGTACACTTGCATGTGTTAAACTCGGTATTTGTGGACTTGTAAGTGTTCAACTCTCCTGTTGTACACTTCTCTAGATCGGGCGCTTACTGTGAGAGAAGTGTTCAACAGAGGAGTTGCACACATGTGCTCTTGCATTTGCAGACTTAGTTTATCAGTGTATCACGGACTTTTCTCTCGGAAGTTACATGACCGCATGCAAGCGCTGTTCAGAGTGAAGGTGCATGGGCGCGTGGCACTTCGTTGAAGTTTGAATTGGGGGTGGGAGGCGCTTGAGTGCCCGTGATGGCTCCATACTCGTGGATTTGCGTGGGATTGTTTCTGATCCCGGTGCCGTGCAGAACACACAGCAAGCAGAGCCGTGCCATGCCGACGCCCTGCGGAGTGCGGACCCACCCCTCCCCGCCCTTGATCCCCTGATCCCTTGTGCTGAGGTGGGGCTGGCCCGACAGGAGAGAGTAGAAAATGAAAAGAGAGCTGAAAAAAAAGAGGGATTAGGGATGAGAGAGCCGATAAGAAATGAGGGGTTGAGGGAGGGCAGTGGATGACCAAAGGGTGGGGCCTGGCGGCAGCACCCTCCCACAAAGCCTCATCCAGCTACCCCCCCCCCCCCCCCGCTGCTGCTCTAAACAATGACATGCCAACCCCAACCCCCACTTCCTCAGTCTATGCAGTTCGGTGCAGCTGTAATGCGGCTTTATTGCATTCGTGTCCGCGGCTAAAATGTGATGGAATTGGGTAATCCACGGGAGAATCCCCTGCCCGCTTATTTCCGAGCTCATAGAAAAAGGACGAATTGGCGTAGAAATCACAGCGCCATAGCTCCAGCTCCTAGCTTTACGACGGGCATTTTCGATGGATATTTTCCCGTCCAGAGCGTCTTTGATAAATGTGGGGTAGTTGTTGGCGAGGACGCAGCACGTCTGTGGGGGGCAAGGCGAGGCCGAGGGCGAGGCATGCTCGGCAGCCCCATCCATATCAGCCCCGAGAGCAGCCACTGGGAGCAGCGCCCCTAACGAAGCACTAACAAATTGACTTGTATTTGTACTCGGGTGTGCAGGCGCTGTCCCCCGTCCAGCACAGCTGTCTCCCTGGGGCGGCGGGGCGGAGCGAGGGCCTCTGACTGCGCTGGGGAAACAGCAAGGCGCCGCGGGGACCGCAGACTTAATTGCAACGTTTTTCCGAACGGAAACATCAAAGATATGCGATGGTTTGAGGGGGAGGGGGGAAAAGGCACCGACACCAAAGTGGGGCGGCTGAGCTTCGGTTCCGCTAGGGGCAGCAGCATCTTTCATGCACTGGGAAGAGTCTCGAAAGCATTACTTTGTAGTACAAAGAAAAGTTAAGCATGACAAAAAACCTATCTGCAAAACGAGGTTGGGTGCAGTGCATACGACCACAACAGTTTGGACGTAAATGAAGCCCTTTGCAAAAATATGTCCAATGATTTGGACGTAAATTAACGCCTGCGACTGTTACGTCCACAGTGTGGAAGTACTTACATCCGTGTAAGGCTGGCAAAAATAACTCCACAAAATCTGGCGCCTATTGTAGCCTCTGTGATTTACACATCCTCAGGCATGACAAAAGGAACCAAAGAGTACACGCATGCCTGTATATCCGTTTCTCCTCTGCATTGATAAACTAAGGTATCAACTGTGCAACACTCTTGAAGTGTGCAACAGAGTTGTTCTGCTCTTGCAAGTGTAGCGCGCGACAAGAGCGGCAATATGCACTGAGCCCAAACCGGGAAGACATTGAGGCCAATATGCGCGCACGGAAAGAATTGAAAAGGACTACCAATGTTTACTTATTGACTGCAAAAAGGTTAGGTGGAACGAGCGGATGCTGAGTAATAAACACTTCTTTGAAGGTATCCCGAAACTCGCGTTTTGCAGATAGGCTTTTGTGTATTCTGCGCGTTTGCGAGCTTTTTCGCTTTATTTTCGTCAAGAAATGACCTCAAGAACCAAAACTGTATGAGATACCTCAAAATGGACGAAGTTTTCAGCCGTTTGAATCTACATGTCCGAGTTACCCCTTAACTAGACATCAAAAATATTTAAAAACAAAAACATTTCATCTTTGAACTCGATCTGTCTTTCAATAGTACAAAACTACCCTAAAACTTACAGATCGCTAACTCAATTCCCTCTCGAGTTATGTGCATACAAACAGACAAACAGGATGCATTTTTTCGATCAGCCGAGGAATGGGCTTCGCAAACGCTCAGCCAATTATCTCTCATAACGGTTAAATCAGCTAATAGTGCATAGTTGTCCCGGAATGTTATTAGGTTCCGTACAAATAACAGCTAACATTTGTGACAGCGATTTTTTCCCCCGTGTGGTGGAACTGCCTGACCGTTGCTGGCCCCCGCCGACACGTCCACAGAGCAGTGGAGGCCCGAGGTGTGTCGTGTCCCCACGGAGCAAAGGCGGTTACACAGTGAGGACGCTCTTGCTCCCTGCCCCTCCCCGCCCCGCCGCCACGCCCCACCAAGCCGATAATGCCGTGAGATGAACGGTCGGCCGTCCCCATCAGTCTGCATTAGGGGGCCCACACGCGCGCCCGCCCCGCCACGCTCCACCCCACCCCGCCCCGCCCCGCCTGCCGCACGGACAGTGTTCGTGCAGAGTATTGTCCTCAGTTCCTGTCTTTAAGTTGAACACACAATTATGAGCGAATTGCAGTAGGCACAGCCCGCATAGAACCATAACTAATTGGCGCGCAGTCCCCTAGTGTCACGTCAGTTGATTTTTCTTTATACAGTATATTAAGATGATTTTATTTTAGATTCACAAGTAGCTCTCAAACCCTTTTTCTTTTTTTTTTTTTTGAGTTTTGAAAAAGTTAAAACGAAGCTAATACGTGCTGCCGCAAGAGTGCGCGAAAGGACGGGGAAGGGGGTGGAAGTGGGGGGACTTCACATCGTTAGGTTGCCCGCTAGACCCGTCGGCACGTCCGAACCAAACCACCCCACTTCCCCGCGGGCCGAGGCGTGGTGCAGGGGCACAGGAGGGCAGGGCACGGCAGCGCAAGGCAGGACGCGTACACGGCGGCGGCGCGCCAAATCCCTACAACAATACTTCTCACGTCTTGAAGAAAATCTGTCACGCAATCCAGAG